AAGGAATTCAATTAGCCAAATAACCAGCCAGCATACACATCGAATTTTATAGCCTAAAAACAAAAACCCAAAACAGTTGCCATGGCATCAATAATTCACCTCTCATATGCTGCAGCCCACGGCCCACGGCCCACGCGACCTGTGCCTAGGGTGCGGTCAACGCAACCACCGATGGACACTTGGAGTCCATCCAGACTCGCCCACGGTCTGACTAGAACATGGTATTCCCCTCAGCTATGGAGGATTATTGTGTGCGTAGCTTGAACTTTTCCTGGATAAATGGAGCCGCGACATGCCAGCCCAAAGTTAATTATGAAACATTTTACTGGACTGTTTTCGCTTACTTAGGGTCCGCTTAATGCTTTTATGTGGCATGCAAAACTTAATTACACCTGAATGGAGAAGCACAAAGATATTGTGTCTAGCGCGGACGACACATTCAATTAACATTCTGTTGGTTAATTTCATCGCTTGACGGACTCTCGATCGGACTCGCATCCACATTCCTTGTGGCGTACTTCGCTGCTGCTTCCTTGAGCTGGCCACCACATGCTGCTACTTCTTCTATGTACACTCTACTACATGCAAGGCATTTGATTGAGCTCGAGGTTCGCCTGCTGCTGTCATGTGAAAGAAAACAATTTGCTGCTAAATTGCTACATGCCGTCGCCTGTCGATTTCCTGTCATTGGGTTTTGCTTTAACCGTTCTCCCTTTGTACGCTCTTTCGCTTCCGTTTCCGTGACTCTTTTTTGTTAGCTCTTTTCACACTTGCCACGTACGTGGCACGTACGTGATAATTGCATATTTATATAACACTTCCGCTGCACTTTTCCTCGCATTCAATTGCCTTTAAATACAATTTCATTTCACTTTCCCATCGCTGGATAATTGAATAACATTATATTCGATTTGGTTTCTGCTGCATTCATTACGCGACGGCTTTTTTATAGGGTTAACCCAACCGTAACAAAGAGCTGTTCGCACTTAATTAGGCTTCAATTAAAATATTGCCGTAATCCAGTGTCAATTGATTGACATATCCACCGAATCTATAATATTACGTTGCATCAGAGCAAAGCGAACCTACTGCCTCCTCCTGCCTGTTACAGGCATTTCCATTAAGGTACGCAAACACATAAAACCAGCAAATAACAATAAAACCCACAAAATCATTGATACGAGCATGGGGCATACAAATTGCCTCGCAAAAGGAGCGACAGCAAGCTTCACCTGTCTCCTAGACCCTTGACTCTGCTCCGGCGGACAGCTGAACTAAGCAAATATGAATGGAGCCCGGCCGCATGCCTCGGGCCAACTAATATTAAAATAAATATACCAAAACTTTTACCCCAGAAAAACTTCGATGGGGAAATACTTTGAGGCAAACTTTATTAGCCAACCAAATACCTGAGATTTCGCCGCCGTGCAAAAAGTAGACAAAGAGCCTTCGAGTCGCTGAGCCGCAGACTAAACAGAGGGCATCCTTTGCTTTGCCTGAGAGTAGGGTTTGGGTCGCCTTACATTAGAGAAATGTAATTGATTTCATGTGTTTGACGGGGCTCGGCCCCTCAGGGGCCCCAAGCAGCAGAGCTGCCCAATAATCCCAAGCCCATCGAAGGCGCGCAGACAAAAGCAAAAGCCCCCGTAGTACAGGCAGATCAGAGCATAGCGAAGCCAAGAAAAACCCATTCGAATTGCTCGAGTTGAGTGCCATGCGAGGGGGGGGGGAATACCAAAATTCAGCCTTTGGGTGCTCATAAATGTGAGTTCCTACAGCACAGCAGAGACACACTCATATCTTTTGGCTCGTGTACATTCCGCGATAATCAAATTAAAAATGAGTTCGCGCACAAATGTCAAAAACTGTCAAAGGAGCTGGCGGGGAATTCACGTGGAATTTTAAAGCTACTGATTACCTGCGGAACGGAGCGGCTGTCAGCTCTCAGTGTTTCTGTCATGTCAACAAAATTTATCACACACACATCTGTAGGTGACACCATTTGCATGTCTGCTCCACTCCCTCTCCCCACCCAATTTATTCATATTTTCGTGTAGCATTTGTTTGTGCCCATTTCATATGCAGCAGGCCCCGCTATTAATTCTGTTTTTTCTCTGAATCTGGGATAATCTGGGAACAGGACATTAGCTGCGCGTCAAGGCTGATGCCCTCTGAGTGCTACCTGCCACATACAGAGTGTGGCAGGCAGGCAGGCAGGCAGTTGATTGAATGTTATTTGATGTGAATTTTTAGCAAATTTATTTGATTGTTTGTGTGGCTGGCATTTATGCAAATGTCACACACACTCACACCGCCATGTAGTTGTCAGAAAAAATCTCCTCAAATGGAATGTGAAATGCGAGAGAGAGAGAGAGAAATTGTAGAAAGAAAATCTGCAAAAATGTACTGTCACTTCCATGCAAACACTGAATGATAATTAAGAGCAGGAAATATATGCGTGGGTTGGTGGGTCTGAGGCAAACCACTCAACATATTTTCTGATGTTTTTACTCATTCATTTCCTTTTGAGCAATTATTGTGTACACGGAAACTCAATTCGCGAATGCTCTTAAAGAGAGGTGGTGGGGGAAAAAAAGTACCCTTGCTCGTGCTCGCCCGTGTGTATCCTGCAACATAATGCCACAGTCCTTGATTTCCACTGAATGGCCATCGCTTAATGAATGCATAAGATGCCTCTGTTTATTTTGCTTTCACACAGTCGAGTGTTTTATTATACTTATGCGGACTTTACAGTAAGTGACCTTCTGCGTCTCCGTATCCAGTCGACAGACACTCTGTGAAAATGTCAATTTTATGAGATTGTAAATCCCATTGATGGAAATCAATTTGCGCCACATTGCAGCGGAAACTGAGAAGAGAAGAGGAGCAAATAAATTGAAATATTCTGTAGTCGGAATTTCAGCCGCTTTTAAAGCCATTTCGTCCAGGACAATATTTCAACGCTTTGGTCCCCACGAAAAACAAACCAACAAAAAGCTAAAGCTGTGGAAAATTCAAATCAGCGAAAAATAAAAAGAGAACACGAACAAAATGCTCAATCAAATCAAAGTCCCCTCCATACAGAAAATGCAAAATAAGACAATGACAGAGCGGAATCAAATGGGATGAGTTGGGCGTGGATTGTGTCCAGGGTGGGTGGCCATAACATGGCGTGTACACAAGAGTAGAGTCCAATAAAACCCCATTGGGGCAAGTGTCACTGACAGACTTCGTTATGCAAAAGATGTACACAAATACAGCTGAGAAGGGAGCTTAGATTGTTGACCAAAAGAAGAAAATTCGAATGCTCTTGGGGACTTTAAAAATGGCCATCGAATATTCCCCGAATATTGGCATGATAATTAGCAGGCTAATAAATAAATAGAAAGTTTGAATTTGATAATAGGAATTGTGGTTTAGCTTGTTTTGTTTTTAGAGAAGTTTTTTCTATCAAAGGTTTTCCCTGCTCCAGTTAGACTCTGATCCACTTAAGTAGTTAACAAAAGAAACAGCTTGACTTTATTGTAATACCCAAACCAGGACGACAGAGAGGACACACACACACAGAGAGAGGGAGAGAGGCAGCTCGAAGAGAATCACTGTCAGAGCCCCGACGAGAAATGTAATCAAAATAAATTACGAGCGTGTAAGCAGCCTCCGGTGTCTATTAAGCGCAATGAAAAGGGAGAACACCATTTGTTTAACGCAATCTCATTATTAGATGTACACCACACCACACCACACCACACCCCACACCACCCCACCTGCCACAGCCTCTGGCCACAATGCTGCTGCTGGTGCCGCTGCAAGCCCTCGTTGTACCTTTTGGCCTCGTCGCTGGCAGTGCTGCTCCGGCTGCTGCCAGTGGATAATGCCACTGATTACGCTGATTATAAGTAATTCCGTAAACTCGAACTGCAGGCCATGTCTAAAGTGGCGTTAACGCGTTTGTTGATTAGTTCGCGGCGCTTCGGCTGGGTTATCACTGGGTATGGGCCACACAAAAGCAGCCACTGCTGCGGGGTAGGGACATCCCGACAAGCTCATTACGGCGCCAACAATTTGATTAATTACGGATTTGCTGGATACCCCCCTACTACTTTACGTTACTTTACATTTTCCCCCCTACACGCCCTTTCCCTGGCAACTGGAAATCCTTCCAGTTCTTGCAGTTCTTTTTTTGTAACTTACAGCCGCCAGCGAGGCTGTTTCTTGCGTGGCATGTAAAATTGTATGCAAATTTAATTTACCTCAGGGCAACCATTTTTATGGCCAAATGCCCAGGGGCCACGCCCAGTGCTACCCTAAATCGTGGCCGCGTCGACCCTTTGGGACCTGGTCATTGGTTCTGGCTACTTACAGCTTTTTCTGGCATTAAAATTGTTTTTTTTTTTTTTGGGCCTGACAGCGACACAATTTTTGGTAAAATTTTAATGAAAACCCAAATTGAAAATGGTCAAATTATGCATGACTCTGCCAAAAGAAAAATAAACAAAAAAATAGCTTATGAATATTGCAAAGTGCATGCCGTGAAATTCTGGGGATAATTATTTGCTGTGACATAAAAACTAAGTCAAAAGGTGTATAAAAATATCATTAATTGATGTGCATTAACAACATACAAATAGTCAGCATATGAATTAATTTAACGCGCTTTCTGGCGTAAATTTGTTGAAACAAATAAAAAAATAAATGCTTGAGTTTGTGAGTGGAAAAATCACATCCAACCCACCCATATGCAGCTCATAGAACATGCTAAAGCGTACAAAAATCTATAATATGTGAGAGATAAAAGAGGAAAGCAACCAAAATGTGTGCCACATATCAGCAGCAGGAGGAGGAACAGAAAGAGCAGCAGCAGCAGCAGCAGCAGCAATCGAACTGTGAGCAATAAAGGAAGTTGATCAACCGAAACCCATGCATATCAAATCAAATTCAGTGCACAAAACATACTCTAAACAAATATAGAGAAACACAGGGACAGAGTGCGATATAGAGAGTGGGAGAGAGAGAGTGGACAAAAACCAAAAAAGCTAATGCCAACATGAGAGTGGATTGCAGTAGCAAATGGCTCGTAAACACTTCTGTTGTGCTTTTCGTGGTGCTGCTGTTTTCGTGGCATCCACTGCGGGCCGAGAGTGAGGTGATTGGCGACATAGAGGAGCAGCAGCAGGAGCAGCAGCACACTATGCATCCGACACCGAGTAGCATTAGCAGAGTGAGGCGCCATCAACTGCATCAACATCACTTGTATACGCAACAGCATCATCATCATCATCAGCATCAGCATCAGCATCATCATCAAAAGTGTCAACAGCCGCATCAGCTGAAACGCGACAGCAAACACAATCGGAAGCTCGGCAGACAGAGTCACTACAAGACCCTGCAATTAGAGCAGCAACAACAGCAATTGGGCAAACACTGGCAACAATGGAGGCAGCAGCAGCGGCAACAGAATTGGCAGTGGCAGTGGCAGTGGGGCAGCAGCAGCAGTCATCTGACAGATCCAGATTATGTGAATGATGAGGCACCATCGTCGTCGGACACGTCACAGTCACAGCCAGAGTCGACACCTCATCAACAGCATCTTGACGACCAGCAGCTCTATGATCAATTCGATTTGGAGGAGTACCAGCGCTATGCGAACATTGAAATGGCAGCCCCACGCTCTGGACGCCATCGTGGCCGTCATCTGCCAGTCAAAAGTACCAACAACTTGCTGCTGCCCCTAATGGCGGGAGTGGACGGGAGTGGCAAGTACATGCGCTCCCTGCCGGACTCTGTGAGCTTCATGAACGATCGCCTGCACGCCATTCTGCCGCAGCGCCACTGGCCCGTGAAGCGCGAGGCCCTGATCGAGGGGGATCTCATACTCGGCGGCCTGATGATGGTGCATTCGCGCGAGGACAGCATCACCTGCGGCCCGATCATGCCCCAGGGTGGCATTCAAGCGCTCGAGGCCATGCTCTTTACCATCGACAGCATCAACAAGGCACAGCTGCTGCCGAATATCACATTGGGCGCACACCTTCTGGATGATTGCGATAAGGACTCGTATGGCCTGGAGATGGCTGTGGATTTCATCAAAGGTAAGCAGCCAGCAGCCGCAGCCAGTAGCCGTGGCAAATTGCAACTACCGCGAGGAGGATAAATGCAAAATTCGTTTCACGCAAATTTATATGCAAATTACTCCGTGTTTGTGTGTTTGTGTGTGCACTTTCCCCCATGGTGTGCGGCGCTCTGTCGCTGTGGCTTAAGCGGATTTTATTGTTTGCATTTTTTCTTTATGCTTTAGTAGCAGTGTCAGTTTCAGTTTCAGTTTCAGTTGCAGTTGCACTGCGATTAATGTGGTAAAAAAATACTCTGGAAACTGTTTAACCAAGTGGAATAGTGTATTATGCTGAAAATTTATGCAATTTCTGGGAGAGATATTTTATTAATTCATGGGCTTGGCTTTGTGCGCACCAAATGGAAAAGAGACTCAAATATTTTCCAACTCTCATCCACTCGTTGCAATATCAATCAATTTCCAACTGTCTTGGCCCATGGCTGAGGCGTTACTTAAGCTAGCGTCAAGGATTTTATTAATAAAATAAATTAATAAATAAATTATGTGGCTTTCGAGACGAGGAGGGTAGGCTCTAGCTAACTAAATATGCATAATTCCCCCAGAGACAAAACGGCGCTCGGTTTATTGGGTTTTGTGCCACAAAAGCAGTGTGCGAGAGATGGAGACCGAGCGAGACAGAGAGAGAGAGAGAGAGAGAGAGTGAGCAAGATGGATGAACTGAATGTGTATTCAAGTGCGTCAGAGAGTAACGTGGTAAGAGTGTGTATAAAGTGCCGCTTATTACTTTTATCGGTCCAACCAAAGAGGCGCGAGGCAATATAAACACACACACACAGAGCCCACCCACACACGCACACACGCACACTCAACGATCCATAATCAATTGAGCACAGAAGAGAAGCGGCCGCATCCTTGTCATCGTCCTGGAACACTTTCTAATCTCCATAATTTCATTATTTATTTGCGCGGCAAGGATTTATTTGAGCGACGTGCCACACTGCTGCTGCTCAGCCTCTCTCACTCTCTCGCTCCCTCTCTGTCTATGGCCATCTTTGTCTGCTGTTGTGTGTGACGTATGAAAAATATAATTTTCCAAGTCACTGAATTATATTGACAGGATTAGGCAGCCCGTAAACTATAAGAGCATCTCTTTCTCTCACTCGCGCTCTCTCTCTCTCTCTCTCTCTCTCCTACTCGTTGTTGTCTGTCCGTGTATTCTGGTTAATAGTAATCAAGCCAGTCATCGAGTTAATTAATTTGTATTTAAGAGCTGACGCCAGCAGACGGTACTTCTCGCACTTGAGGGCGTTCCATTTGCCATTTCGCACTAAATTGTGGTCAGCGGGGCAAAAGAAAGCAGTGCCAAAGGGTTTAGAGTTCTGCCAAATGTACCTTTTATATTGGATTTCCGCTTTAGTTGTTACCCAATTAGCGTGACCTTAAACCAAATGCATCAATCGTTTCATTACGCTGCAATTGACAGATACACAGATGCCCACAAAAGCGCTACAAATTGTGTGTTCAGAAACATGTGGCCTGGCCACCATTGTTTCCAGCATCAACAACAGGATTTATTATGCAGAACAAGGCTAATATTTGTCGCCAGCGGATATTCATGAAAGGCCATGCCAACTATGCAAACAGCAAAACCAACAAAAGCACTAAATCACTACGCCGAATGGCACAGTTGGACTGGCATTATTTAGTCATGCAAATGCAGTATATGCACAGCTAACCACTAGACACAGATATGGCACAATGCACTAACTGTGAAGAACAACAAAATGATAAAATAACCAGTTAAAACGATGCACTTAATGTATATTTTACGTATTGTCCTGGCCATGTCAAAGTTGTATTAAAACTGAAAGCTGGCACAATGCCATCCACGCCACATTGACCGTACGACTTTGCCATTTCGAAAATGCAGCTGGTAATGCCGAGAGTATTAATAAACGAGGATTGGCTTCGGTCACCGCTAACTTATGAGTTTCCCTTTGACGAACTTTCAACCGCAAAGTTAACCTGTACTTATTCTCCCCTACCTACCTACCTACACACACGTTCTGCTCTTTATTATCCTTGCAGGCTCCATCAGCAACATTGACGATGCCGAATATCATTGCAACAAGACGCAAGTACGAAAGGTCATCTCTGGGGTGGTGGGTGCCGCCTCATCGGTAACCTCCATACAAGTTGCCAATTTATTGCGCTTATTCCGCATACCCCAGGTAAGTGTTCTGCTCTACCGTAGATCTGTGTGTGTGTGGACAATCCCAAAGGGATTGGGACCAGAAAGTTATGTGGGGAAACAATTTTTCCTACCAATTGCAATTTTGTGCATTTGTGCTCACAGCTGGGTGGACACTCTTAGCCCGACCCAAAAAGTTCCCCCCTGTATTATTGTTTGTAATTGAAATGGGCCAGCAGCCACATGGAAAGTCAGTCGAGGGCAGTGCTCAGGACTTTTAAGTGCCTTTACGTGCTACTTAATTAGAGGAAAGCAAAAAGGGGGACAACAAATCACACAAAACTGCACCCATGGCAGACCTTGTTTCTCCATATGTGGGTGGAAACACGTCTCCGCTCATGGGAGATTAAATAGCCGCTATTGGTACTACGGTTGGGACTTCTTCGTACGTGAGTCAAGCACCAAAAGTCGATATGCGACAATCTCTAAGTGACTGGAGTCCATGCCGGCATCCATCCGACGGGGTATGTCTACGGCCTTCCCTCTTGAAAGTGCCCCATAAAACGCACAAGCAACGATTATCGTGCATCAGGAAAAAAGAGCAGCCAGGCTAAGAAAGAGAAGTCGGAAGTAAGGAACAATATTCTGCAGACCCAGGAAGGTCTCTGTCCATACTCAAAACGAGAGCTCATAAATCAGAAATAAGCATTTGATTGCATTTCTTCTGCTGTGCCTCCACTCCACCTAGGTTGCTCGTACAAAACATTTGTCCATTGAGACATCTTCCAGAGCTCTGCTGTTGATATTGCGGTCATATTTCGGATATCCTTGAAAGATATCTGTCAGCTGAGAGCTGGCCAACAGTGCAGATAATAAATATTTGGTTTTTATTCCAATTAAATGCTATAGCTGCAAGCGCTGACAAATATCATATTTAATGAGAAATTGTTCAACCTCTCAGGAACCTTTTAATTGCATTCAATTCCCGTCGGGCAAAATGCTGAGCAGTTGCAGTTGCAGTTGCAAGATGTGCATTATGATTTATCAATGGAGAAGCTCTTACCGTCAGACGACAGTTAATGTCTCTTGTAGAAATTAATTACTTGTACAAGTGGCGCCTGCCCTTTCACCCGACGTAGAAGTGACTCGAGCAAGCACTTGGTTGGCTTGAATAGTAATGACACTTAATTGCAAATGAAGAAGTTAAACACTTCCAGCAGACTTGGCACACTTTCGAGCCACATTATTAGTTCTAAAAGGTTACTGTCTGCTGCATTTCCCCCGTTCCTACTGCAAGCTTGTATTCCAATTGGTTGGGTCTTGCTCTCTAAAGGACAGCACTGACTGGCGTTGACTCTTGTTGACTTTGTAGATGTTTTACCCAACTAAAGCGACGCACCTTGAAAACACGAAAACTCGACTCTATTGTGTAGAGAGGGAAACCTAGGAGCAGTCAAAGGGATAAATATGTGATATGCATCAAAGGGAATTTTTGCACAGCAAACAACACAGGGAGAGCGACTGGGAGACGCCCGCCATCTACTCGAGTGTGACATGGCACTTTGTCAACATAATATTTGGTGCGCTGTTTTTTAATGCAAAAATTTGACATCACAACATAACCTTTCGCCGGTTCGCAGGTCTCCTACTTTTCAACCAGTCCCGAGTTGAGCAACAAGCAACGCTTCGAGTATTTCTCGCGCACCATACCCTCGGATCATTACCAGGTCAAGGCCATGGTAGAGATTGTGATGCGGATGGGCTGGAGCTACGTTTCGATTATCTACGAAGAGAGTAATTACGGCATCAAGGTGGGTGGGTACACTTGTGCTCCATTGATCAAATATGTAATATTGTGGCACTTGCCACCAGGCACCAGGGAAAAGTGTTTGTTTTCAACAACTCCACTCTCTCTGTGTGTGGCTCGCGTGTTTTTACAATCTGCTTATGCTGATGTTTCCCGTTTCCATCTGCAGGCATTCGAGGAGCTGGAGGAGCTACTGGCACGCCATAACATTTGTATTGCCATCAAGGAGAAGCTGGTAAAGGACTCTGGAGTGGCCGAGGATATTGCATACGATAATATCGTGCAAAAGCTGTTGACCAAGCCGCGGGCCCGAGGTAAGTGCCGTGCAAAGAGTGGGAGTACCCTTACATAAGCTGGCACGAGGGAGCTTGCTACAATATGAAGCTGTAAAGCTAACAAGCGAAACGCGAAATGCAATTTTCAATGAAAATGTCAACGAAAGGCACGAGCCCAGTTACATTCCCAGTCCCTGTAATGCAAAAAAAGAGAAGAACAACAGGAAAAACATTTTCCAACGCTTGCCAAATGAATGCAACGCGTAGGGCGGGAACTGTGACATTTTGGGGGGGTGGTGGTGGAGTGGCACGGAAATTGCAAAAATTAAACGAAAATATTTTAAACATTTCTCTCTAGCTTTCTGTCCTCAATCCGGCATTTCCCCCCTGCAGGAAATTAAAATGTTTAGCCTTTCTCTCTGGAGGGGAAATGGAACAAACGAAATGAACAAAGCAGATAAAACTACATTTTCGGCAAACCAATTTCAGAGTCCTCAATTGGTCGATTTACAATAGAGATAGTGGCCGGCATCGACAATCCAATATTCTGCCAAAATACTAGAATAATGGAATTGTTATTCAAATATTTTGACCTGCTCTAAAGCGTTCAAGAAGTCCAACTCTCAACGGGGGTGGGCAGCACTGTTTAAAATCCATCTGAACAATTCATTAATCGAAATTCAAATAAAACTGAACACCAGTGGCATACCATACCAATCTGTGTCAATCCTACGACCCGTGGCACCGAGCACAAGTGCATAAAAAAACAAATGTCAATCAATTTAACTTTCGACTGCGCCCCAACTCAAAAGCACATTTCAAAATATTAATCAAATGCCACTTTCAGGCACAATTTATTTAAAAATATGTGAGACGCTTTTGAGAAGCGTCAAGGGTATAAAAAACGGAAAGGCTTTCTCTTACCTTTTGGGCAATAATATTATGCCATAACGTTTTAGTTAGCAGCATTTGCGGAACCGTGACACTACGTAAACGCGCCACGATTTTAATAAGAACGATTTACTAGTTTTTGTTTTTGGCACTCGCTTTAAATTTAACTCACTTTTGCCGAACCGCCAGGCACCCCTTGCCGTCATAATGACCATCTTACACTTGCACTAACACTTGCACATATTACTGAGTGAGATTTTTTTCCGCTCTCTCTTTAGTTTTGCGGGACATTCAACTGTTTTTCATGTAAACTCACTCCAACACTTCACTCACTTTTGCCGAACCCGCCTGGCACCCCTTGCCGTCATAATGACCATCTTCCTTTTTCACTTACACTTGCACATATCACTGAGTGAGATTTTTTTCCGCTCTTTCTTTAGTTTTGCGGGACATTCAACTGTTTTTCATTTGAACTCACTCCAACACTTCACTCACTTTTGCCGAACCGCCAGGCACCCCTTGCCGTCATAATGACCATCTTACACTTGCACTAACACTTGCACTAACACTTGCACTTTTCACTGAGTGAGATTTTTGTTGTGCGTGTGATGTTTTGCTCTTTCTTTAGTCACGCGGGACATTCAACTGTTTTTAACTGTTTTTACTTTGAACTCACTCTTACACTTCACTCACTTTACACTCACATCGCAGCCACGGAAAAAAAACACTCAGAGTGGCGATCAATGCGCTCAATATTTGCACTGACTTTACACTCTCATCTTGTGCTCTTTACCTGCACTAGAGCTCACTCTCACTAACACATAAAACAAAAAAAACAACTCAAGCCAACGTGCACATCACACCATAATGCCGCTATTTTGCCTCGCCTTCTTTCCTCTTAGATTCCAATAGCTGGAAACGAGCATAAGCAGTGCTTAAACTGCGACGCCATTGCCACTTTGCGGGCCTATTTTTACGGAAAAATATAATATTAAATATTATAATTAATATATTAATAATTAATATAATTAAATATTAAAAATAACATGGAAACTATTGTTTTCACAATCGTGTGATCTTTTTCACTTGTAGGAGCTATCCGCCAACATGGATGTACACTTTTCGGGATTTTTCCAAAACTTTTCTTCACTTTTCCGGCTTTTTAAATATTTTTTAAGACTTTACTGTGTGGTTTTTCTTTCTACTTCACTGCACGAACATTTTCCGGGAGGATTTTTCATTAATTTTCTCGATTTTAGCGACCCGACACGCGGAGCTGACTTAAAACCGCACGCTTTGTTCCGTCCGAAAAAGTAAAAGTGAGAGCGGCGCAGATTTGGAGAACATTCCATGCTCTCTTTCTTATGCTCTCTCATTTGACTTTTGTCTTCTTTCTCTCCTACTCCAAGAGAGCTGTGCAGGAGAGCGTAAGCATGGAATGTTCGAAAATGCAAGCGTTCTACGAATTCAATTTCCGAAAAATTTAAAGAAAAAGCGGCGTTATATTTAAAGTGTGAGAAGGCTTAGTTTGTAGAACATCCCTTTATCTCCTTTAGATGCACTTCCTGAGGAAGTCTTCCTCATTGTTCTCTCATTTTACTTTGACTTTTGTGTTGTTCCATCAACAACTCAAAGAGAGCGAACGTTCGAGCGTTTGATGAGTGAGTGACACCTTGTTATTGCATCGGTGACTTATGGTGAAGGGGAGCTGGGAGGGAAAGCAGGGCAAAACCGAATGTTCTTCTTTTGTGTGAGGGAGGGACAGAATGTAGCAACTGACAAAAGGTAAGAGAGGGAAGACAGTAGAAACCAGAGCAGGGTATTTTACTCTCTCACTACATATTCACTACATATTAATGCATTGTACATTCGTACATACATATGTATACATGTACATGAGTATTTGGTCTGGGAATCTTTTCTTCTATTTGAAATGTTGGCCACAAATCGAATATACCCCATAACTCTTCAAGTACCGAGTTTAATAAATGTCAATCAATATCACTTTGGACTGCGTCCCAACTCAAAATCAAATTGCAAAATGTTAATCAAATGCCACTTACAGGCAAACAAAAATATATTAAAAATAATTACCCTCTAAACTTTTTATGCATGTCATTAATCAGGTGAACAGAGAGACACCGACAGAGAGGGAGAGAGAGAGAGAGAGAGAGAGAGAGAGAGAGAGTGGGAGAGGATTGCCAATAAAAAGCACCAGTGGCAGTGGCCCGTCGCCAATAACAATTGACTTTTGTCTGGGGGGGCCAGGAATATTTGATTTGCATAAATGTGCCATCAGGAGTCGTAAAGCACACACACACACACACACATCACCAAAAAGGGTTCTTCAGCAATCATTATTTATTGTTACTTGTGATTTGACGCCGTTTACTGGCTGCTGCCTCGCTAAAAATCCTTTTTCTTCGCAATGTTTCCCCTTAACGATTAATCAATTTGACAAAGTATTCTTGCCCCGACATTTCAGTTCTTTAATTTTGCATGTGGCAGGGTACGTTCTGGTTTAGGGTCGCGCTGAAAAATGGAGCGCACCAAAACCGTAAGGGGCAAAGTTTATCCTTGTAAAGAATCCTCCCCACACACACACATGTCTGAGTGTGGCTAAGGTGGTGCAGGGGTTCTGACATGTTTTTGCTTTTTATCGCACTTTTGGCAAGTTTTATGCTGTTTTCTTGCTGTTCAATTTATGGAAATTCTCTCACACTTTTCACACATTTGATCACAAATTTGTTGGTGAAAAATTCGAAAAGTTTTCATATAAATTGGCGGCAATATTGAAGAGAAGAGTTTGCAAAATCGAATTTAGATGTCTTCTGCAGAAATGAATGCATTGTAATTAGTCCGAGATACTTCACTTTGCTTTATCAAAGAAAGGACAAGGTTTTCCTTAGCTTCAAGCGGCTCTCATGTGGCTGCTGTTTCAACAGCAGCGGTCAATCGATAATGGGGCATGTTGGAGTGGCAAGAGCATAAAGCAGCTGCCCGCCTGCCTGCTTGTTGGCTGTGGCCTGATAGTAAGTGACAACAGCCACTCATAATGCTACCAGTCAGCCAGAAAAAGGGGCCATGAATCGAGTGGACAGCAGCCCGATACCATAACAATGGAATGCTCCAATATCGAGTGTCCAGCATCGAGTATGACTGGCGCTGCTCTGAATTTACCCAACGCCCAGTGGGGGGAAGCAAGAGCTGCCTTCTGAGCGTGTTCAATACCAAATTCCGACAGTTTTAAAGATAGAAAATGCGATGATATTACTGCGTTTGGCAGTGGCTAAACTATTTTAAGATATTTAAAGAGCAAGACTCATGCCTAACCCCCATACGTATTTATTGCAATTAAAATTAATGTGATTCCCATCTTTGCTTTCGTGCTGTGGACAGGTGCCATCATCTTTGGCTCCGACCAGGAAGTGCGGCAGGTAATGCGGGCTGTGCGGCGTGCCAATGCCACGGGCTCCTTCTCCTGGATAGGCTCTGATGGCTGGAGTGCTCGAAATCTCGTATCGGATGACTACGAGCCAGAGGCAAGTAAACTAAACTATTATCATTCCATCAGCGCCAGTCCGAATGACTGAGCGAGTGCTGCCAGTTGGAAATTATGAGGCCTAAATGGGCGTAACGGTGACGGATTTTGATGAATGATTCCACCGCCGCATGACGAAGAGACAAACAAAGGGCGTGCTGGAAAGTGTACAAATGATGGTCCGAGAACACAATGGAGAACAATATGATAAATTGTCGCTTAATTGTAATTAATTGTGGGCTAATTAATTTGTAACACGTTGCAATCTAGCGTTGAGTGCGTGTTCTAGCAATTTAATCATTTAATTATTATTATTTAACTCGTTTCAGGTGGAGGGCACGCTCTCCGTGCAGCCACAAGCGAATCCTGTGCGCGGTTTCGAGGAGTACTTCCTCAATTTAACCGTCGAGAATAACCAACGTAATCCGTGGTTTGTGGGTAAGTCCCCTGTCAGTGCCAAGCCCCACGCACAAATGCGATTATGGTCGTTATTTGTACCCCTTAGAATTCTGGGAAGATCATTTCCAGTGCCGCTACCCGGGCAGCACCAGCACACCCTACAACAACTACACCAAACAGTGCACCACCAAGGAGCGACTGTCACGGCAGAACACTGACTTTGAGGATCAACTGCAGTTCGTTAGCGATGCGGTTATGGCATTCGCCTATGCCCTTAGGTAAGTGCGGAGTGCCCAGAAATGGCAGAAGCGCCACTAAAGTTTCCATCTGCCCCTTGGCACAGGGACATGCACCACGACCTGTGCGGCGGACGACCTTCACTGTGCGATGCCATGAAGCCGACCAAAGGCGCAGACCTGCTTAAATATTTGCGCAAAGTTCAGTTTAAAGGTAAGCCAACCGGCCATCCGGCCAACGATTAAATGTTGTCTTTGACATTCAACTGGGTGTGCGTAGAAGCAGCGTCTAAATGTAATCAAAGGCAAGCAACAAGACTGTCGTCGAGTCTCAAGTGTTGCGCATATAAATTTAAGTGGAAACATCCCGCTGGCATTTTCGCTGTGGTTGTGGTCGGGCGATGGCTGAGCCTTCGCTGTGTCCCACGCTGCGTCTACGCATGGGTATGCTTTCGAGTGGAAAATTGACTTGCTTGTCATCGTCATTGAACTCAATTTGAAATTCAATAAATTATACAGACCAAGCCAAGAGAATGGCAAGAGAATGGCAAGAGAATGGCAAGAGAATGGGTTGTAATGGAAGTAAGGAGCGGGGTAAGCTGCAGCTTCTCTCTGCCACAGATAGTCAATTTTCTGATAAGGCATCAGCACCAACCAGTCAAAGTCCCATTCTTGCGGCACCAGCAAAACCATTAAACACTTTTTCGCTCTTCCTTTACAGGCCTTAGCGGCGACCATTTTCGCTTCGACGTGAACGGTGATGGACCGGCACGGTACAACATCATTCACTTCAAGCAGTCACAGATCGGACAGTACCATTGGGTGAAGGTTGGCGAGTACTACGAGGGCGAACTGCGCTTGAATATGTCGGGTGAGTGAGGAGACTTGCTCCCAGAGCTGTGCAATTTCTATTTAAATATTGGATTTTCCCCTGCCCCCCCCACACAGAGGTGAAGTTTAAGCGTCTGAGTCCGAAGCCACCCGAGTCCGTTTGCAGTTTACCCTGCGATGTGGGGCAGGCCAAGAAGTATGTCGAGGGCGAGAGCTGCTGCTGGCACTGTTTCAATTGTACAACTTATCAAGTAAGTGCAGAATATTCACTCCAGCTGTTGCTGTTACTGTTGCTGCTGCTGTCTAATTTATTTGCCGGAGCTTTCTCCCAATTGAAACGGCACAGTGACTGCAGCACACAGAAAAACGGGCGCCCCCAGAGGCAGGAGCCACATAGCTCAGCCTCTTGGTTTTGGTGTCGATGCTGCCACGCAGCAGAAGTTCGCATTTCCATTTTCCCTTTCCTATTAAATTGTATGCCGCTTCCTCTTTGTGTGTGTTTGTGTGTGTGTAGATACGGCACCCTGATGACGAGACCCACTGCCAGCTGTGCAAATGGGGCACACTGCCCGATGCCCACAAGCAGTACTGCCGTGCCATACCGGAGGTTTACCTGCGTCCAGAGTCCGCCTGGGCCATTGGCGCCATGGCATTCAGCTCGACGGGCATCCTGATAACGCTCTTTGTAATGGGCGTATTTGTCAGGTGAGTAAAGTTCTCAACAAAATGCCAATTTTCCAATATGTCAATTGGGGTGTTGCGAAGACTTTTCATCGCTTTTACCTTGGCAATTAAAAAGTTTTCCATATTACTTTCGAGAACTATGCAGGAGTGTGTACAAATGCCACAGAAACCTAAAAACAAAGAGACATAAAAATCGTTTACTAATTGGAGCTAAACCAAGCCAAGGCGAATTTACTTATAAGGTGGCGTCTCCGGCAACAGAGAGCGCCATCTGTGAAGTGCTTGATGCCCACCACAGCTAAGAATGTTACCTTATAGTCAATTCACCTTGCGACTGGAACACACACATGGCCGAAAGTTGTTTATTCTTTCTCTTTCTCTCTCTCTTTCTCTTCTCCTTATAACAGGCACAATGACACGCCCATTGTGCGTGCATCGGGACGGGAGCTGAGTTACATTCTGCTGGCTGGTATCTTCATGTGCTACGGTGTCACATTTGCCCTGGTCCTAAAGCCCACCAACATTGTGTGCGCCATTCAGCGGTAAGTTGGAGGGGAGGGGTTGCGATGTGGAGTTGAAAATGTTCACAGCTTTCTATGTGTAATTGCAGTTTCGGCGTTGGCTTCTGCTTTACCGTTGTCTATGCTGCACTGCTGACCAAAACGAATCGCATTGCACGCATCTTCAAGGCGGGCAAACAATCGGCGAAGCGACCCTCGTTCATTAGCCCAAAATCCCAGCTGGTGATTTGCATGTTCCTTGTCACGGTCCAGGTGAGTGGTGGGGCAGAGCTCTCAATTACAGTTGGCATGGCATTTCCTTACACTCTCCCTCACTTTCGCTCCCTCTCTGCCTGTCTGGCTGTCTGCCTGTCTGCCTGTCTGCCTGCCTGTATTCACAGATACTCATCAATGGCGTTTGGATGGTAATTGCACCATCACATGCCATGCATCATTATCCGACACGCGAGGATAATATGCTCGTTTGCGATTCCTATATAGATGCCTCCTACATGATTGCGTTCTTCTATCCAATCGTTTTGATTGTCATTTGCACAGTCTATGCAGTGCTCACGCGCAAGATACCCGAAGCATTCAATGAGTCGAAGCATATTGGTGAGTGTGTTACCATTTGATTGTGGGACAACTTTTGACGACACTCTAAAATCTGATTACAGGCTTCACCATGTACACGACCTGCGTGATTTGGCTGGCATTTGTGCCACTGTACTTTGGCACTGCCAATCATGTGCCGTTGCGCATCACCAGCATGTCGGTGACCATCAGCTTGTCCGCGAGTGTGACCATCGCATGTCTCTTCTCGCCCAAGGTAAGTAATTGGTGGGTGGGGAGCGGGGACAGCATAATTGCTTCATTCATAAATATTGGCAATATTTCTGTTGTATTTCGTTGAACGTTTTCCCAGTCGTTTGCGCCTTAATTTGTACATTTCAATTCGATTTAATTTGTGGGCCCGAGTTTCCAGCGGGTCCAGTTCTGAGAGAGAGAGAGAGGTGGGGGAGGAGCCAAAGGATAAAGCGATTCATTAAAACGACAGCGCAAGGAGACGCAGATAAGCAGACGCCAAGTGGCGCTTCATTTTTGCAAAAAGGATTCGTTATGTGCCCTCCTCTGGGGGGTCGTCCCTTCAGTTATTATTATTTTTAATCATCGCTTCTGCTTCAAAGTGAACATGTTTGGCCTGGACTCTCAGCTGCACTCCCGCACCTCCCGTTGCATGCCACAATGTGTATATGCAATAATTGAGCTTCATTATGGTCCCATTATCGACTTTGCTGGGTGAAAAAAGGAAATTTCCCTGCACAAGGTTGGTGGTAAATTGGCTTTAAGCAAAAGGGCCAGGCCAGCTATGTAGGTTTTGCGGCAAAACAATTTGCTTGCTCAATTAAATTAAACAGAAGGGCAGCACACAGAATGAAGCTGCTGCTGCTGGGGCAACACGAAAGTTTTTGCAGTAAGAAAAGTAGGAAAAGCGTTTGCTACACATGCAGCTCCAGAGGCGTCTTTAATCGCCACATTTTGCGGTATGCAGAGCTGTGCTTCTTGGACTCTTGATGGGTAAAAACGAGGCTATAAATACTCCACACGGGGGCTATTATTAAATGTCAGGGAATAAAGTAGCTGCTGGCTCCTAAACGGAACCACAGGCAAAGACAGAGGCAACGCTTGACCCAGCGGCAAAGCCAGAAGCAAAGCCACAACCAACTTTCCTATCAGATGTCACCCAATGCACATAGCACACACACACACACAGAATCGTACACCTTGGGCCATAAAAATGCAATTTACAATTGGTGGGACAAGCGTGGCGCAGAGGAGCAAAAGCGACAGTGAATGCCGCATGCCACAGAAGCACAACAACCGGACGGTAGGGCCCTGAACTACACTCGCAGCATAAAGGTGCCACCAGCCACGCCTTCCGCAAGGAAAACACACAAACACACAGGGCGAGAGCAGCAGGGGAGCAGCCAACATGGGCAACAATTTCAACTTCCGACTGCCATTCCCCACATTTTACGCTGACTTATCCGGCTGGCCACCCAACACCCCACCCCACCCTACGTATGTCTGTATGTATTTCCCCTTATTTGTTTGCTTTCAAGTAAGGGCACAAAGCGGTGACAAGGGAGAAAGGGGAGGGAGAAATACAATAAGAATAGGGAAAGCAAATGGCATCCAAACAATGTCAACGTACGAGGCACCGGAAATGACCGAGCAATACGTAAAACTACGGCAACGTTACATATGGCTAATGACACAAGAACTTAGGGCTGGTGGGCGTAGATAGTGGGTGTGGCTGGTCACGCAGTTCCCTCCATAAACTAAAGCTTCTTCCACTTCCATGGTTAATGCAAAAAATTACATATGATTGTCCCCCCCATACCTAATTGGCAGCTGTACATCATACTCATACGTCCGGAGCGTAATGTGCGACAGAGCATGATGCCACCGCGTCATGGCAACATGCACCGCACCGCCGGCACAGGACCTTCGTCGATGATGGCAGCGGCTGTAGTGGGCGCCGCCACGTGCGCACAGGAGGAGAAGATACAGCGGCACATAACGCCCACCAACACAGGTAAGGAATTTGGTCTACAACATTTGTGGGTGTGCTTGCCTATCCCTGTGTGTCCCTGCAGATCCCTCGCTGAAGACGAAAAAGTTATGCGAAATGGCCACACAGACCATTTCCAGCATTTTCACATCGCTGGACATTAATGCATACAATCAGATACCCTATGCCGATCAGTTTGTGGCAAACAATACGGCCACAGAGACGAGCACAACGCCGACAGCCACTCAGGAGGACAATGAGAAGGAGCAGGTGGTGTCCAACAACAACAAAATCAATCAGCTGCAGCACGGACAGCAGCGAACGGCGGCCGCTGCCGTGGCAATCGTTGTCTCAACGGCTGTCAATTGTGTTGGCAGTCCGCCGACAACAACAACCACAGCAGCGGCAGCAGCAACAGTCGCTGCAGCTGCAACCGTAGCTGCCACAGTCACTACAATTGCAACAGCACAGAGCAGCACAGATGCCAAAGAAGCCGTCACAGAGACCAGCGCCAATTTGATGAATACAAACAATGGCAGTCATCGGGGACCCGTGCTGCAGACAAACTTATAGCTAAACGCACAGGAATTGCAGCAGCAGTTGCTCAAGGAGCAAAAGCGACAGCAACAGCAACAGCAACAGCGACAGCTTCAGCTGGAGGCAGAGCAGCAGGAGGACACACAGCAGACGGCCACAACGACGCAGGGTTCCGGCAGCGATGGCGGCAGCACAGGCAGTGGAACTGCCAGCAGGAAACGGGCAGCCATACCCGTTTAAGGTGCACCTTAAAAAGAAACCAAAATGGTTACAAGTAAGTGCGGGAAAATGTGAATACAAAATGTAAAGTAAATTCCGGACAGGTACAGGAAGGTACAGGGAGCTAGCACTGGGGTATGCCTGCTCATGTTACTGCCAAAGGAAACACAATACGAAAGGATATCGTATGACTTGAACAGCAACATGAGCGGCCAGTGCACCAGGGAACTGAAGGATATGCGCTAACCCCAACACAACCGTATTGATTCGCGGTATCCAAATAAATTCAAACGATTTGTCAAACAATTTGTCAGCCATTTAGCTTAAAATAAATGAAATATTAAGTGTTAATCTTTAAGCTGTCCCTCTACTATCTTCAAGAATTGTTTCTACCCAAAAATAGAAAGAAAGAAACAGCAAACAATGGCAAAGGCAAAACCAAAATGAATGAAAAATGTGATATAATTTGAAAAATGTGTTTTCTATAACTAACGTTTAACTACCATTTAAAGTAAATCTGAATCTGAATGTAAGTTTACAGAATACGTTTAAGTGCTGAAGGGTGCACAAATTATGTTCCCAAGGGGCTGCTGGTACAACCCCTTGCGAATGTAGCGGCAGTTATGGCATGGAGCCGAATGGAGCAATTGAAATTGCATTTATTGTGTTGTCTTGAGCCCCCGGCAACATAATAGATTTAATTGTTGTAAATATCAATAGAAAATATTGTTACAATCCCTAGCTTTTAGTACTTTGATCCATCTAGGTGTGTGCATAATAAATATTTAATGTTGATTGTGCTGTTGTTTAACCAATTTCAAATGTGTTCTTTGAAGTGTTGATACAAAAAAAAAGATATCCTAAATATATAGAAAGTATTTCTAAGAAATAATAATAAATACTAATTTAAAGCTTAGCCAAATGATGTGAGGAAAGTTATAGAAGAAGAAAATGTTAGCCCAAATGTATTTGATTCTCACTCTGTGTGTGTGTGTATGTTTGTTAAGTGTACATAAAAAACTTAAGGAAATACTTTTGATTCGTAGCATAAATAAGAATAATATACACATACATACATATACATACATATATATATTAATAATAATGCTAAATGTTGTTAGGCTGCATATACAGATACAATATGTTTACGAATTAAAATCAAAATCAGTTTCATTGGGTGGTCAAAACCAAAGCCTCAGCTGCATCCAGGCTCAGCATTTGTGCGTTGTAGCTGGTGCTACAAAAGGAGAGTAACAAAGCGTATTAAAAGAGTGTTAATCCTGCCGTAACCCACTTACCCCTCTGACTTGGTGGATGCCAAACTGCGCACGAGCAGCTGCAAATTGCCCGACAAACTCTTGTCAAATTCCCGCAAGTCAATGGTTGTGGCCTCGGTGCCAAAGTTGATGACAGCCACAATGGTGGGGGAGTTGGCCAGCGAGCTACAGGTATCAAACATCAGCTGTGTTGCATGCAACAAGTAGTATCATGTATGCCACTCACCGTCGCACCACAAATATGTCCTTGGTCATTGCCACATACTTGGTGGAGCCATTCTGCAGCGTCTTTGAATATTTACGCAGCGCCACCAGCTCCTTGTAGATCTTCAAATGGGAATGCTGCGCCGCCAGCTCCGTTTCCACATTGACTGTGGCAAAGTCCCCTGCCAGTGGCAGCCAGGTGGTGGGTCCATCGGTGAATCCCGCATTTGTGCCGCTCGTCCACTGGAATGGCGTTCGCTCGGGATCCCGAGTGTACATCTCGTAGATATCCGCATTGGAGTTGCAACCCCACGGATCGACAGTGTCCTCCCAGCTGATCTCGCCATCCGTCATGCCAATCTCCTCACCCTGGTAGGTCACACTTGCCCCGGGCAGTATCATCACCAGCATGTTCATGCCATCAATGTGATCCACACCGTAGCGGCTGGCAGCACGTCGCTTGTCGTGGTTGCCCAGCTGCAATAAAGGGAAAAGGAAACATGAATCAATGCAGCTGCCATTCAGAAATTCCTTCTACTTACCACCCAATTGGGCGTGCGTCCAGCTGGCATATTCTGCAGCCACAAGTCGATTGCCTCCTGCACGGACTGCGCACTGAGACCCTTCTGATCGATCACCGTAATCAGGTTAAAGTTGAAGGGCAAATGAGCGCCCTCCGTCGTGCGATTGCCATAGAACTGCATGGTGAACCAGGCCGCTGTGTACGTCTCAATGAGCAGAACACTCGAATTGCCACCGAAGATGCGCTTGTGATCGTCCAGAACCGTGCGCCACTGGTACACCATGTCCACGGTCTCTGGCCTGTTCTCAATGTACGTTGTGGTCAGATAGTCGCGATCATCCTTGTCCTCGGTGAGTCCACTCACAGCCTCATCGGGATACTGACCCTCCGCATCGGGCAGCACCTCAAACAGCGGCGGCAGTGCATCGCAGCGGAAGCCAGCAACGCCCTCGTTCAGCCAATACCGCAGCACTCGCTTCATCTGTGCCACCACATCGGGATTGCGGTAGTTGAGATCAGGCTGCTGCACCGCAAACTGATGGAGATAATACTGCTGCCGCTCCTCGTTCCACTCCCAGGCACTGCCACGGAAATACTGCAGCCAGTTGGACGGTGGCTCACGCTCTCCCGTTGCGGCATTCACCTTGCCATCGTGCCACACGTAGTAGTCCTCGTAGCCTCGCTCCCGCTTCACTGACTTCTTGAACCATTCATTCTCATCACTCGAATGATTGGGCACAAAGTCCAGAATGATCTTCAGATCCAATTCATTTGCTTTCTTGATCAAAGCACGGAAGTCCTCGAGTGTTCCATACTCCGGTTGAATGTCGAAAAAGTCGGAAATGTCGTAGCCAAAGTCCACCATGGGCGAGGCAAAGATGGGCGACAGCCAGGCGGCCGTGACGCCCAGATCCTTGAGATATTCCAGCTTGCTGGTGATGCCATTCAGATCCCCAATGCCATCTCCATCCGAATCCTTGAATGATCGCGGATAGATCTGATAGAACTGCGCCGTCTCCCACCAATCCTTGGTGGCTGCTGCTGCCGCCGCCGAGCTCTGCACTTCACAGCCCTGACCTTGGCCAATGGCAAGCACCAACAGCAGCAGAGGTAGGAGCCCCAGTCGGGCCAATGTTTTGTTCCAACTCACAGACATTATGTACGCCGCTTTGGCTCTTCCCTGGGGCTTTTATAGGCCTCTCCAGCGAACACTTGGCCGGCCGTCTGTTAGATAAGCGACGACAACGGAAAATGCCAAAGTAGTGTGTCTGAAGAGTACTTTAGGGTACGTCGTGTGATGGTCGACTTCAGGATGTCCTCTATCCAAGCTAAAAGAGCAGAAGGGAAGGTCATAGTTATTATCACTTTAAAAGTGTATTTTGTGTTCGGTTTTGTGACAGATACCATTGGACACTCGACTTTTGTTTTGTAAATGATTCACTGGAGGCCTCCACTCGATGTTCGCTTATCGATCACCCGGTTGGGACCTGCACGTAATCATATAAAAGAGCCAACTCTGCGTTGGGTTTACCCAAACCAATTATTAAAATGCACAGAGCTGGAGTAAATCTTTTCTGTGCACTCTGCTGCCTGGCAGTCCTGGCTCAGCCGTGCCTGTCCGCAGCCGTCAAGGCCAAGGACTGGTGGGAGACGGCGCAGTTCTATCAGATCTATCCGCGATCATTCAAGGATTCGGACGGTGATGGCATTGGGGATCTGAATGGCATCACCAGCAAGCTGGAATACCTCAAGGATCTGGGCGTCACGGCCGCTTGGTTGTCGCCCATTTTTACCTCGCCCATGGTGGACTTTGGCTACGATATTTCCGACTTTTACGACATTCAACCGGAGTATGGAACACTCGAGGACTTCCGTGCTTTGATCAAGAAAGCAAATGAATTGGATCTGAAGATCATTCTGGACTTTGTGCCCAATCATTCGAGTGATGAGAATGAATGGTTCAAGAAGTCAGTGAAGCGGGAGCGAGGCTACGAGGACTACTACGTGTGGCACGATGGCAAGTTGAATGCCACAACGGGAGAGCGTGAGCCACCGTCCAACTGGCTGCAGGCCTTCCGTGGCAGTGCCTGGGAGTGGAACGATGTGAGGCAGCAGTATTATCTCCATCAGTTTGCGGTGCAACAAGCCGATCTCAACTACCGCAATCCTCTTGTCGTGGAGCAGATGAAGCGTGTCCTGCGCTACTGGCTGGACCTTGGGGTCGCTGGCTTCCGTTGTGACGCTGTGCCGGTGCTCTTTGAGATTGAAACGGATGCCAACGGACAGTATGCGGACGAGGAGGTGAGTGGCCTGACGGACGATGTGGATGCGCGCAATTATTTGAAGAGCGATCTCATCGAGAACCGTGTGGAGACCATTGACATGGCGTACCAGTGGCGTGTCGTGATGGACGACTACCAACGCATTCATGGCGGAGATACGAGGGTGCTGCTGATCGAGACCTACGCCCCGCCCGCCTACACAATGCAGTTCTATGGCAATCGGTCCGTGGAGGGCGCCCATCTGCCCTTCAACTTCAATCTGATCACGGTGCCCGCCAGCAATGGCGTCTCCGCGGGCTCCATTAAGACGGCTGTGGACAACTGGATGAAGAATCTTCCCTCAGGCCGCACGGCCAATTGGGTGATTGGCAATCACGATCAGCGGCGTGCAGCCAGTCGCTATGGAACGGCCAATGCGGATGCCATGAACATGCTGGTGATGATCCTGCCGGGCGCCAGCGTCACCTACCAGGGCGAGGAGCTGGCCATGACCGATGGCGAAATCAGCTGGGAGGACACACAGGATCCAGCGGCCTGCAACTCCAACTCGGATGTGTACGAGCAGTTCACACGCGATCCCTCCCGCACGCCCTTCCACTGGACGAGCGGCACCAATGCGGGTTTTTCCACGGCCGCAAAGACTTGGCTGCCTCTGGCCCCGGACTATGCCAGTGTCAATGTGGAGACGCAGTCCTCGGCGGAGCGTTCCCATCTGAAGATCTACAAGTCGCTGGTGGCGCTCAGGAAGTCCTCGAAGACACTGCAGAAGGGAACAACGAAGTATGGAGTGCTCAAGGAGAATGTTTTCGTGGTTAAACGGTGAGTTGGGGACACGTCCTTATGGCTTAATGTAAACTGCTGTAACCTGAATGTACCTTCACAGCTACCTCTCTGGCTCCGAGTCGATTGTTTATGTGGCCAATTTGGCCAGCAAAGGCATCACCGTGGATCTCTACGAGTTCGATAAGACGCTGCCAACACATTTGAATCTGCTCATACGCAGCCTGCAGTCATCCAAGAAGGAGAAGTAAGAAAATGCTGCCCTAGAGACGTTTTAAACTCACTAAAACTCACTCTCTTTCAGCGCTTTGTTCGAGGTATATGAACTGAGTCTGTCTGCCGGCGAGTCCTTGGTGCTGAGCACCATATGAAGCTGCAACTGCAGCAACTTTCAGGCTTTTCCGGGTTCGATTATCGTCCTCACTTCACAAAATACTTGTATCTTTTGACTCAAAGCAAATATGCCGCCGCGGCTTGCATAAATAAAGCAAAAACAAACCACTCAACCACAAACACACACTGAAACTCGCCTCTTCATACACTTCTCATTCGCTGCTTACATCCAACCCCCTGCTGCCCCGGAAGGTGCCCACGGAGTTACTCTGTTAATTCCCGTCGCTCGGCAAATGCTCGGGGTTTCGCCATTTAAAGTGTTTACACACAAATTAAAGTCAAGCACAAAGTCAGCCCTCCTCTCCCCCTCTGTAGTCGTTGAGTGTTTTGTATTTTATACTTTGTGTGCTTAAAAAAGGAACCCAAGAGTCCGGGTTAGCCCCAGTACACACTCGAATGTGTGTGTGTGTCTGTGTGCCACAATGTGTAAGAGTAAATACAGACGCCGACCAGGGACTAGGCCCATAAAACAACACTGTCTGCTGTTGCTGCTGCTGCTGCTGCTTCTGGTTATGGTCTTGGGATTTTGCTCTTTGAAGTCGAAACCATCGAGAGTGGCTGGATGAGTTTTACCCCAAGTGGGGCAGATTGATTACCACAGCTAGCATAAATTCTATAGCAACCCATCTGCAAACGAAAAAACTTCAATTGCCTTCTAAATAATTAAATTGCGTTTACACATGGTAATTGGCAGGCAGACGGCTGACTACAGAGGAGGAGCTGCACCGCTGTTAAGATTTTTCGAATATTTGAAATTGTTTGGCACACACAAACACCCACACACACACATGGCAAGGGGACTTGGCCCCCCAGTCGAGTATTCCACCTGATTTGAGTGGATTTCACGTGCGATTAGTTTTGATAACAATTACGGAATTGAATTCGAAAAGGTTATTAACAAAAAACATTGCTTAAGTGGGGCTTAAAAACAGTTTCTAAAATAAACTCTAAAATTTATAGAGTGGAACCACAAATCCTGAACCACTTAGGAAAACAAAAACTAGACATCAAGCAGCTTAAACAGCAGATTTAGGCAACAAAAATCCAGGTTTTAGCTACCGGATCTATTTGATTTCGCTTTGATAGTAATATTTTGGATATGGGCTACAAAAAATTAGCAGTCTGTATCAAGCGAGGCGTAAAAATGAATAATAAAATGAATCGTGTAAATGGCTGCGTGACCCGTCAGCCCATTAAAAAGGTCACACAAACCCAGACACACACACACACACACAAAGCTATGCTACGGAGGAGCCACTTCAACCTTGCGCACGTGACCAGAAACCTTAAAAAATCAAATATGAAATTGTGCAAATGGAAACCGCATGACAGACGGATACGGTGGCAAAAGTGGAGGAGTGCCTTCCACCTGATGGCAGGCAGTCTGGCAGAGCCTTCTGCCTTCTGTCAGTTTATGCATTTCATTTTCGTACAGATAATGAAGTTAATTTCCCAAAGAGAAGCGACACAGAAATCTTTACATTTAGGATGATTTTCGGAGATTTACGGATCCGTGGAGCGTTCGACCGACAAAAAAACTTTTTGTGGCCCTTCCTATTGAAAAACTTTTTAAAAGGCATTAAGTTTGTTGTAATCGTGGGCCACGGCACCCGGAAGGTAGCCCTGGCTCTTGCACATTTAGTTAACGTATTCACAGCACCGACAACGTTTGCATATTAATTATGTTTGCCCGCACGGCTTCATATTTGAGTTTCGCCAGGCTGATGGGTCGCTGATGTGGGACTGGCTCTGGCTGAGGTATCTGGATCGGCACGTGCCAGCTGGCCAGGAACGAATCGGAGAATCGAAGCTGAAGCTGGGGAAGTTCATTTACTAGCTGGCCGGCCGGCCGCCCGTCATCTCATTAATTGCACCGCAACGAAGAACGAGAACGAGCTGGCTGGCTCATAACTGTTGGCCAAAGGGTTGACTTATGCTCGCCAGGAGTCTATGGCACTCGGCATGCCGCGCACGTTTGCCGCTGGGTTGACAGTTAATCCCACAGAGAAGCACGCAGATGACAGACCAATTGTCGCGTCAATGCAGACGAAATGAGGTAGGTCCGTGGGAAGGAGTCTGTGTCGAGGCTAACGATGATACTGCAGTTCTCCCTGAACGAAGCTGAAAACTCAACAAAATTTCACTTAAATTTGAGCGAATAAATTAAAAATCCAAGCAGGGAGAAGCTACGCTGCTACGACGCCTGTTACTCTCACCAACTACGAGTACATGCCCACACCCACACTTGCCGCACTTCCGCGACACCTTCTGCGGTCTCTGAAGGACGGCTTTCATTTTGGCAGGGAGGCAACGCTTCGGATGCGTGATTTGTGTGTCTTATCAATCACGACTAATGGAATTTCTTTTGCACCCCGCCCAGCCGTGCTTGACTGAGGACGAAGTTCCCTCATAATTTGCAATAAGTTGGCCACGAATACGACCTTAAATTGAAAAGTTTTCCAATGTCGTTCGCCCCAAATACCAGCACGAATGCTACTACGAGTACGAGTACGGGTACATGTGCGCAAATATTTATATTTCACTCCATGAATTTCTGATTAAAACATTGCCCTACACAGACTCCAAAATCAAGGAAGTGTATGGTTCCAGGGAAAGACTGCTAAGGGTAACGTTAACGCTACAGGGATATATAGAAGTAGAAACATTGGAAGATAATTATATTTGATGAAAACTTACAGCACAGATGCCTTCGCCT